TATCTGTGTTTTTCCAATTTAGTTCGGCGGACATAGGATGATAGCTCCAAGCTAACTGCTAACATTTGCTCAGCGTTTTCTCTGTTAACATGGGCATTCTATGACAAGAGTCTTTCATCCAGTTGAAATATAGCTAAGATCAACATTATCTGAAAAAAGTGGCATAAAACTGGATAAAATGTTAGTTAATGACATCTTCTGGCACACAACGCCGAAGAACATGCTACCTTGACTATAATTAAGGATATTTCTAGGTTTTAAAATTGTAAGAAGCATTTAGGATAATGCAAGTACACAACAAAAATTAGCCCTCTGATACTGTATGCTAGTAGACTCTTCCTAAACATGCAGATATGTTCCTGGATTTATGGTCAGACAATTAGCATCCTATGAGTCAGGAAGCCAGGTACTTCTACATGGGTTAATGCTAAAATGTCTTATTTACTTAAGCTCATGCACTCACTATGAAGTTTCCTTGATTGTCATAGATTTGCACTTCCCCGTTGGCCATGCCGAACAGGAGGATCTTGCTGTCTGGGGACCATGCCACATGAGCAAGCTGATTTCCCTTTAGCTCCTTTCCCCAAATCCGGTTTCCTACAACAACAAAAAGCATTTATCCTAATGCACTTAATTGCACTCATTCCCTCAGTATGTGAACAAAGCAAACCTTGTCATGGGCGCCTAATGGATTTGAGGCTAAATCTGTTTGGAAAATGTTCATGATTGATGACTGTTTGTTAGATTTTTAGCTAAACATCTGTTTTTACCATCTACTGATCCAACAATGACCGCTCCATCTTCATACACGATGCAGATCTTCTGACCGTCAGCGTTCCAGCTCATGCTCCTTACCACCGACTTGTTCCGGTTGTTGATCATCTCCTCGTACCACGCACCTTTGGGAAAGGCCAAGATGGACCTCTTTAAAATCCACATTTATTACATGACAACATGCACTATTTATCTTATTGTAGTAATCACCTTTGTAGAGCATCCATACAATAATGAGCCCATTCTGGTCACTGGTTGTCAGCTTTTCATACTGTTCGTTCCACGTGACCACTTGTACTGCGCCTGCACACAAAAAGAGAAAATTCTGAGAAAGAAATCGGAATTATGAAATTTTTCTCATGACTACAAATAAATTACCTTTTGCTATGATCACAAAAAAAATGCACATGAGGCCCTAATCCTCTTCCGTAGCCTTGCACCTCCTAACAATGGTTGTTATTTTATAATGAGATAATTTGTATGTTTGGCGACAACTGAATATCACTTACCACTGTGTCCCTCTAGAGTCTGGTTCATGGACAGATTAGAGGGTGCAGCAAGACCTTTAAGTTTGGCATCATCTGTTCAGGAAGCAGAAAGAGAGATCAGAAAAATAATTATTCTCAGTGAAGGAGTTGTTGAAAATAACTGTTTAAAAACCAGAACTACAGCATTGGATAAGTAGTCTGTAGCTAAATTCCAGCAAAGAGTTTAAATACTTTTTTCTCTTTATTGTAAGTGGCTTTGAACAACATCATCTGACACACAGACGGAGTGGACAAGGTGGCACCCATTTTACCACCAGAACAGAGCCGAAAAGCTTATTACATTTTCAAAAGATTTATTACATGCTGTTAAAAATCTCAATCACATGAGTATAACATGATTGCCTTGACTCTGAAAACGTTCACACAAAGCAGAATGTTGGGGAAATTATCTATCAGTTTTTTACCAGACAACTTTTATTTTATCCTTTTGTCAAACTCAAGGCCCGTGGGCCATATGCGGCCCGCGACTTCATTTTATGTGGCCTGCTAGAGCTTGCAAACAATATACATGTTTATTATACGATTGAATACCGCTAACTACATGTCCCACAATGCATCTCATTTTGTGACGCACTGAAGAGACTTGCAATTATTTGCCAAAGACTTCTGCTTTCAGATGTAGTTAAATATTAAGTTATTACCGTATCAGATAATAATCCAATGCAGAGGCAATAATGTAATATAATACATTATTTTATATATATTATATATTTATATATAGTCTTAAAGTTTTGCACTGGCTTTTAATACTAGTTGAACATACAATTTTGATATTTGTATGTGTTTTATATGTTTCTAGTTATTGTGCTTTTTATCTTGTTTTTAATTATTGTTTTATTATTTTACTCCTATTGTGTTATTTTATATTTGTTCCCTGTACAGCACTTTGGTCAACTGAGGTAGTTTTAAATGTGCTATATAAATAAATAAAGATTGAGATTGAGATTAAAAGTTACAACCGGCCCTTTGAGTGCAACCATAATGCTGATGTGGCCCGCGATGAAATTGAGTTTGACACCCCTGTCCTAGACCAATAAATTGCAACAAATAAACAAATGAAACATTAGAATATGTTAGAATATATCTATTTATTTATTAATATTATGCTCATTATTATAAATACAACATCAAGTCTTACCAATCATTGAAAATAGAAAAGGGATTTTATCTAGTGACATAATTGGCAGTAACCAAAGTCAATTTAGCTAGATTTTATTTATCTTTTTAATCTAGCACATCCCATAAACTGTAAAGCATTTCACATGTCAATTGTTTATAGAAGCCTGTGTTATTTTTGTACATTTCCTTTAGGATTAAAATTGTACTTTCGATGCAAAAAAGCTGTTTATTTGCTAATGTATTAGCCCAGTTAAGGTATGGAAATTAAGGATGCAATTTACTATCAAGTGTTTAATTTATTTATTAATCTGCTTATTTTTTCTTGATTAATTGTTGGGCCTATAAAATGCTTAAAAATAGTGAAAATTGTCCATACCAGTCCTAAGTGTTTTGAATGTATTGTTTTGTTAGTCCAAAAACCAAAGATATTCACAGAAGAATGCAGGACAATAACATAATAAGAGACTAAAAGCAACATTCTCTGCCATTTTCGCCTAAAAAATTAATTTAACGTTCGAAAATATACATATTTAAGTATTATAACAATTAGCAGGACTGTTAGCTAGCTTAATTTACCTGTCTGACTCTCAAGCTTAAGCACCCTGAGGAGACCATCGTCTCCTCCACAGGCAATGAAGCCTTGATCTTTGTTCCAGGAGACACATTTCAGATGGATATTGTTGGGGATAGCAATCTAAAAACACGGAAAAAGCCACGCTGTTAACCAAAGCCTTTGTATTCATTGATGTACTAATAGTTGTAAAGTACAATTGTCTGCAGAACACAGGATTCTTGGAGAGACTCACCTTCTTGCTGAGGTAGATAAACATGGCAGGCTGATAACAGACCTCTGCTAATTGCACACGGCGTAGTTATATTAGAACACTAACAATGCCTGACTGCTAAAGTTAGTTAACTTATTTTAACCTAGCTATGCTACATCATGAGGCCTCGATGTAGTCGATGTAACGTTAGCATATACCGTTAGCTTTGCTAGTTATCTCCTGTCAAACGCGACAGAGTTAGCATACCTACTACCAAAGACGGCTAACGTTAAATGTAGCCTCACAACCTTAAAGACCGACTACTGCTGTAGTTTATAACTAACGCATATTCATTAAATAAACGATTCAAATTCAAAGTCTCATTGCTTGTGTGGAGGACTACAGCTTCCCTCGGTCTCCCGTGGTAACCGTAAACCGGAAGAAGGTTGACCTAGTAGGTTTTTCTGGTAATTGTAGTTTTTTCCCCCTCTTCTGAATAACAAGCCGTTTCTTTGACTCTATTACTAAAATAAGCTGTTCATTTGTTGTTTCTTCGGGAACTATATGTTTTAGTTTTTGAAGAAAAGCCAACAGTACTTTATTTGGCTTAGCCTGGATGTATTGTAATTACTTTAGCATAGTTAGCCTACTGTGGGCTAAAACGGTGGCCTAGTAGGTCTTGACTTGACCACCATACATAACTTAAATAAATTAGCAAATTAAAACGTTAAAAAGTAATTTTCATACAACGGTGCATGTTATTATATTCACTAATTGTTTTAAAATTGTAATAAATATATCATAGTCACTCCCAAGAAAGCTTGCTTTTTTCAAGCTTGGTTACTAAGAGTAAAACACAATACAAGAGAGTTACGGGGTCGATTATTTCAGAATATTTAATTTCCATGAGCAGGCACTTATACAGACATGTTGTCACAAAAACACCATACAATACCTAACTGTCAATGTACACAAAGTGGCTTGCTACACAAATAATCTCTTCAATTTGTTTCACATGTTTTTATGATGAAGAAATTGAGCAGTGAAGTAATCTTTTAGTTGGATGTGGATGTTGGAAATGGAGCTTGACTTAAATCTCCAGGACAGCTCACTGCCAACTTGTCAAGGGTGCAAAGTTTTGAAGCAGCCAGAAAACCTTTGAACTCCATGAACAGTGTTCCGTCCCCCCATTAAACAATTAATCCTGTCTGTTACAAACAAAACACTAATAACCAATTAACACTGCACAATAGTTGCAACATTTCAGGTTCTACTAAAAGTATTTTAGTAATTGAATGTGATCTAACAATGCCATGATCCAATTGGATAAGGATTTATTCTTTGCATAATAATGCTGCAATCAGACGGGTAACAACAATACTCTTGTTGTATGAGAGATTAGTTGTTGTGTTAACATTATGGTTTGTTCTACCAATAAATGTTCTCAGAGGAGTTGATACACCACACTAAACATTTCAACAAAAAACACCATCCTACTATTCATAATGAAAGGAAACTTTAAACTATTACTTCCCTAAATATCTTGGTTTAAGTCTCAACTCACTGGCTTACACTGCCATGAGGAATTGTAGCTTTCTCAAAAATATACACGGATATTTAAACATTTACACCAGTTATAACATACTTTACAGAAGTAGAACCAGACAGCATTGTGAATGCAAAATAAATGTGTATAATATAATGCATCTTAAGACATTTTTTAAGGGTTACAGATGATTTCTGCAGGTTAAAAATGATTGGATTCATTGTCTTGAACATGTCTTCACCGCTGTTCTCAATACTGCTGCTCGCCCTCAATCAGGGTCACTTTGTCTGAAAGTTCATCAAGTGGACAGGCTGTCAAGGAAATATAATTGAAAAGTGTACTTGAAATCTGGAAAACTTAAACCATAGATTAAAATCTCATGTATACTCATTAATAAACGTATCAATAAGACAAAACGACTGTAGCAGCCAGCAACTCAAGCTAGTGCAAATGTCTAACATTTCAAGAGGCACAAAGCATTTTCTTTCACATAATATTCACAATTTCAAAAATGTGATTCTTCAAAGCCTTTCATGCAAAAGGATATGTTTTCTGCTCAGCTCCTGAATGGTGGACTGCACTTTTTTCTGGAACAAAATCTGAGCTTCACACATGCAGGCATCTTGAGTTATCTCACCTCTCATTTCCTCTGAAAGCATGAGAAAACAATATGGAGAAGGTCAAAGCATGCGAGTGGTGTTTCACAATGTTCAGTGTAGTTTCTTTGGTATACTCCAGAGCTCTAGAACAACAAGGTTTTTACTTTTGTGAATTTGCTTTTGTGCGTGAGATTATTTAAAGAAAAAATCGATTCAATCTAGATAATCACAACCTGGGAGTGCATAGGGTTAAAGAGGAAACATGTTAATAATAATTTAAAGTATATACTCACACATATAAGACGTAAAAGAAAATCACAACAGACAATATGCAAATAAATTACAACTGTTTTTCAGTCTCTCATTCCTTAAATCAAGAGCACAGCACACTTATGTCTTATTAACTGTGTTGTTAATGACTGGATCAGTAGAAGTAGTGCTTATCGTTGGACAGTGGCTTTAGTTGCAGTCAACTGCAGACGTCTCCATAGCTAAAGAATGTAAAAAGACAGACACAAGATGTATAAAAACTATTTAAACCCAAGTTCATGCAATATAATAAAACATATAAAGCCCCCTATTAGTGCTATAGGCTTGACCAATTTCCTACCTCAAGCTGTGCAGTGAAATGTACATGTGTGAGCATAGACGATTGGTAAGAGCTTGTAAAGGACTTACTTGTATCGGGTCTGCATTCACAAATTAGTCAGCGATTTTTGTAAGTTTGTTTACAGGTTTAGAGACTTATGGCCATACAAGCTAAACCCTTAATGTGAACATGGATGCAAAAATTGCTAGACACCAGTGTTCACCTCCCCAACATGTGAAATGTATAACCACACCTCAGGGCTGTTTGTTGTACCACTTTAAGAAATGTCTGATTGGACTGCTTCTTCCCTCTAATTTCTCTAACCAGGTCTGTTCATTATTGGTAGATGTTTTTCAAGTGAAGACCAAAGTAGAAAATGTCCGTGTTCACAGACTAGCATCCGCAAAAGGATAGGCCAATTTCAGTAATACCCTTAGCGGGAAAATAGTCAAGCCTATAGACCTTTTAGGAGGGCAAATTCTGGTTGAAATATGACATAATATCAAATAAATCAATTTTGGATGTATAGCAGTTGAAAAAGAAATGACTCCAACCTCACCCTCTCACCTTAAATTGTCTTGCATAGTTCAGGGTGGCTCTTGTCAAGTCAAGCACATGGTCCAACCCATCTTTAATAAAGCCTTCAGGTTTTATACCGATTTCAAGGAGCCCACAGCAAGCTGTTGACACTGGGGACTCCAAACTATGTCCAGGTACGCCAAACTTTATGGCGTATTGGTGCCATATTGGCAAATGTTCTCATGCCAAGCTCAACACTAGCTACACAAGACAGCTTACAAGGCAATAGACAGGTGGGTGAAACATTATTCAAAATAGATCTAATCCAAGTAATGGGAAATCTGTTGAATGGTTTAAATACACAGACAGCATTATGTATGTTCAACAGTGAATCCAGGTTCTTACGTGAGCATGTTTTCTGGTCAGAATTCAATACGTATCCCACTTCACACTTGCAGTTGTAAGAGGAACCATTGTTGATGCAGATCTGCTGGCAGTCATGCCCCTGAGCACATGCATCTGAACCTGGAAAGAGACATTCCTATTCAAGGTAGTTCATGGTGTCGTGCAGAAACAGACTTTAGAGCTACTATGGAATAATGTCAATCATCTTGAGGTATTGGACCAATGTTTAGGGAAAATGAAAACGTTTCTTACGTGAGCATGTTTTCTGATCCATGTTCAAGATGTACCCAACCCGACACTTGCAGATGTAAGAGTTCCCATTTTTGGCACAAATGTGCTGGCAATTGTGTCCCTGGGGACATGCATCCGAAGATGAACCTGAAAAGAGAAGCTCACACCTCAGTTTTATGACAGCAATAACAATCACTTAGCTGTTTGAAGATCATTTGGTCACAGTTCCCTTCAAAAGAAATGGATGCATCAGCCATGTGACCAATAATTTACAACATTCCCAGTCTCAATATCTCAGGGTTTTAAAAGCTAACCTTAAAACTGCAAACAAACAGCCGTGGTGCACTTGAGCAAGGCACCGGACAACCCCCCCACCCCCATTGCTCCCCGGGCGCTGTACAATTGCTGCCCACTGCTCCTAGTACTAGACTCCTGGTACTAGGATGGGTTAAAAGCAGAGAACACATTTCACTGTGTGTGCTGTGTGCTCTGCATGTGTGACCATTAAAGAGGGTTTCATCACTCCAAATGTTATTCTACAAGAATTGAAAACTGCCACAACAGCTCTGATGAACCTTGTTTTTGAAGCTTCAAGGCGTTGTGTGGATTATTTGAGATGCTGGATCACACCACAGACAAATAAGCATATTGAAAGAAATCAGGTGCTTACGTGAGCATGTTTTCTGGTCTGCATTCAATACATAATCCACATGACATTTGCAGATATATGAGTCATCACTGTTGACACAAATCTGTTGGCAATCATGTCCCTGGGAACATGTATCTGATCCTGAAAAGAAACACTTCCACATCTTACTTAGCTGAACATTAGTCAAGAAGGTCTTGACTTTAGAATTCCACGATGGGAAGAGTTTGTTCCCAATGAGCTAACTGCCCTTTAAGTATCAACACTTACAAGAGGTGATATGAAATGTGTCTGACCATGTACAAAGTAGAAAACAACATTCTAGGGAAATCTAACACACTGTGGCAAAAACATCATGTCATTTATAAAGGTCAGAGTTCTTACGTGAGCATGTTTTCTGATCTGCGTTCAACACATATCCCATTCGACACTTGCAGACAAACGAGTCATCAGTGCTGACACAAATATGTTGGCAGTCATGTCCCTGGGCACATGTGTCTGAACCTAAAATGAAACACTTAGACATCTTAATGGGCTCAATTTACATGAATCAAGGAGCCATTAGAAAGCAATGGAATCCAGGATGGGTCAGAATAATAAACTCTAAGACAGTCCATCAACTCTTAAAACTTAAGTCTGGGTTTCTTACGTGAGCATGTTTTCTTGTCTGTATTCAAGACATATCCCACCCGACACATGCAGATATATGACTTATCACTGTTTACACATAAGTGCTGGCAATCATGACCATTAGCACATGGATCAGAACCTGAAAAGAGACATATCGCATACATGTGATATGACAGCTCAGATAATCATTCAAGAAGGGCTTTGACAGTTGACCCTTTATGTCTAAAGATGGTTTCAATTGATGATCTCCCTAGACCTGATCTGTGCTTCATTAGCTCTTGCTGCTAAAAGCCAATAACCCAAATGAATAAAATATTGCGATGTACTAAGATGAACTTTGAAGGGAACATGACACATTGTACGTGAGCAAGCACTTGAAATTCAACCCTAACCCTAACCCTAACTCTTTCACTGGTTAGCAATGGTAGTTGTTTCTGGCAAACACCATGAGCATATACTACATTTTAACCCTACAGACAATGGCTTCTGCTATATTTAGTCATGCACCTAAATAATGGATTATAAGGGGAAATTGAATCAAAGCACCACAACATGTATTTCAAATGTTAAAGTTAAATTCAAGTTCTTACGTGAGCACGTTTTCTGGTCCCCATTCAAAACATATCCATCATGACATGTGCAAAGGTGAGAATCACCATTTTTGACACAAATATGCTGGCAGTCATGTCCCTGGGCACATGTATTCGAACCTGAGAAGAAAGCTAACAGCTAACAAACATAGCTTACAAAGTCTTACACTGTCTGCTGTGGTGTCTTAGATGGATCAACAGGTTTTAAAAAGGTTCCACTGGGTTTTTCTCTGGATTATTCTGACTTTATAAGGATTTACATTTATGCAATGTGTAATAATCCATAGTTACTGAATTAAGTCATACATATCTCAAGGTCCTCTTTCTACACGAGCATATTTACTATTATGCAAGTCATGTCAAAGACAGTTTAAGATTAAAATTCAAGTTCTTACGTGAGCAGGTGTTCTGGTCTGCGTCCAACACATATCCCTCATGACACATGCAATAGTAAGAATCGCCATTTTTCAAACAAATATGTTGGCACTCATGTCCCTGGGTACATGCATCAGAACCTGAAAAGAGACACCTACACAGCTAACATCAACAGCAAACCTCCTTGGTAAAGCTTACAATTGGCCAACATTTAAAAACAGATATCTATCAAGTCCATGGCCAAAAGATGTATGCCTTTTCTGCATTTAATCTAAAGCATATACAATAATAACAAAAAGGTTGTAGTCGACCACGCGTGGTCAAGGACATGCATATCAAGTCAAAAATCACAAGTTCTTACGTGAGCATGTTTTCTGATCTGCATTCAACACGTATCCCCCTTGACATTTGCAGATGTACGATGAACCATTGTTAATGCAAATATGTTGGCAGTCATGTCCTTGGGTACAAGTATCTAAACCTGAAAAGAGACACTCAAAGTTGTAAATGACTTCATTAAATTATAGCCACCTACAAGTACATAGTGGGGCTTTTAAAGTGGCACCAATCGATTTACAGTTTGGGGTGCATCAGTTTCTCAAGTCTCCAAACTTTCTGCCCATTCAAAAAGTATTCAAACTTTACTTCCTTGTCATTTGAAACAATCTACAATATCTCATGAACATTTGTCTACAGCACAGTGCTTCAACTTTAAGTTTCTGTCCAAATCAAACTTGGAGAGACACACCAACACTTCAAGCATGTTTCACCTACATCAAGGTAGATCCAAGACACTGCCCCCTGACATGTGATAACATTATTTGGTAAGAATGAGGTTCTTACGTGAGCAAGTTTTTTGGTCTGCATTCAACACATATCCCATTCGACACTTGCAGACAAACGAGTCATCAGTGCTGACACAAATATGTTGGCAGTCATGTCCCTGGGCACATGTGTCTGAACCTAAAATGAAACACTTAGACATCTTAATGGGCTCAATTTACATGAATCAAGGAGCCATTAGAAAGCAATGGAATCTAGGATGGGTCAGAATAATAAACTCTAAGACAGTCCAACTCTTAAAACTTAAGTCTGGGTTTCTTACGTGAGCATGTTTTCTTGTCTGGATTCAAGACATATCCCACCCGACACATGCAGATATATGACTTATCACTGTTTACACATAAGTGCTGGCAATCATGACCATTAGCACATGGATCAGAACCTGAAAAGAGACATATTGCATACATGTGATATGACAGCTCAGATAATCATTCAAGAAGGGCTTTGACAGTTGACCCTTTATGTCTAAAGATGGTTTCAATTGATGATCTCCCTAGACCTGATCTGTGCTTCATTAGCTCTTGCTGCTAAAAGCCAATAACCCAAATGAATAAAATATTGTAATGTACTAAGAAGAACTTTGAAGGGAACATGACACATTGTACGTGAGCAAGCACTTGAAATTCAACCCTAACCCTAACCCTAACTCTTTCACTGGTTAGCAATGGTGGTTGTTTCTGGCAAACACCATTAGCATATACTACATTTTAACCCTACAGACAATGGCTTCTGCTATATTTAGTCATGCACCTAAATAATGGATTATAAGGGGAAATTGAAACAAAGCACCACAACATGCATTTCAAATGTTAAAGTTAAATTCAAGTTCTTACGTGAGCACGTTTTCTGGTCCCCATTCAAAACATATCCATCATGACATGTGCAAAGGTGAGAATCACCATTTTTGACACAAATATGCTGGCAGTCATGTCCCTGGGCACATGTATTCGAACCTGAGAAGAAAGCTAACAGCTAACAAACATAGCTTACAAAGTCTCACACTGTCTGCTGTGGTGTCTTAGATGGATCAACAGGTTTTAAAAAGGTTCCACTGGGTTTTTCTCTGGATTATTCTGATTTTATAAGGATTTACATTTATGCAATGTGTAATAATCCATAGTTACTGAATTAAGTCATACATATCTCAAGGTCCGCTTTCTACACGAGCATATTTACTATTATGCAAGTCATGTCAAAGACAGTTTAAAATTAAAATTCAAGTTCTTACGTGAGCAGGTGTTCTGGTCTGCGTTCAACACATATCCCTCATGACACATGCAATAGTAAGAATCGCCATTTTTCAAACAAATATGTTGGCACTCATGTCCCTGGGTACATGCATCAGAACCTGAAAAGAGACACCTACACAGCTAACATCAACAGCAAACCTCCTTGGTAAAGCTTACAATTGGCCAACATTTAAAACAGATATCTATCAAGTCCATGGCCAAAAGATGTATGCCTTTTCTGCATTTAATCTAAAGCATATACAATAATAACAAAAAGGTTGTAGTCGACCACGCGTGGTCAAGGACATGCATATCAAGTCAAAAATCACAAGTTCTTACGTGAGCATGTTTTCTGATCTGCATTCAACACGTATCCCCCTTGACATTTGCAGATGTACGATGAACCATTGTTAATGCAAATATGTTGGCAGTCATGTCCTTGGGTACAAGTATCTAAACCTGAAAAGAGACACTCAAAGTTGTAAATGACTTCATTAAATTATAGCCACCTACAAGTACATAGTGGGGCTTTTAAAGTGGCACCAATTGATTTACAGTTTGGGGTGCATCAGTTTCTCAAGTCTCCAAACTTTCTGCCCATTCAAAAAGTATTCAAACTTTACTTCCTTGTCATTTGAAACAATCTACAATATCTCATGAACATTTGTCTACAGCACAGTGCTTCAACTTTAAGTTTCTGTCCAAATCAAACTTGGAGAGACACACCAACACTTCAAGCATGTTTCACCTACATCAAGGTAGATCCAAGACACTGCCCCCTGACATGTGATAACATTATTTGGTAAGAATGAGGTTCTTACGTGAGCAAGTTTTTTGGTCTGCATTCAACACATATCCCATTCGACACTCGCAGACAAACGAGTCATCAGTGCTGACACAAATATGTTGGCAGTCATGTCCCTGGGCACATGTGTCTGAACCTAAAATGAAACACTTAGACATCTTAATGGGCTCAATTTACATGAATCAAGGAGCCATTAGAAAGCAATGGAATCTAGGATGGGTCAGAATAATAAACTCTAAGACAGTCCATCAACTCTTAAAACTTAAGTCTGGGTTTCTTACGTGAGCATGTTTTCTTGTCTGGATTCAAGACATATCCCACCCGACACATGCAGATATATGACTTATCACTGTTTACACATAAGTGCTGGCAATCATGACCATTAGCACATGGATCAGAACCTGAAAAGAGACATATTGCATACATGTGATATGACAGCTCAGATAATCATTCAAGAAGGGCTTTGACAGTTGACCCTTTATGTCTAAAGATGGTTTCAATTGATGATCTCCCTAGACCTGATCTGTGCTTCATTAGCTCTTGCTGCTAAAAGCCAATAACCCAAATGAATAAAATATTGTAATGTACTAAGAAGAACTTTGAAGGGAACATGACACATTGTACGTGAGCAAGCACTTGAAATTCAACCCTAACCCTAACCCTAACTCTTTCACTGGTTAGCAATGGTGGTTGTTTCTGGCAAACACCATTAGCATATACTACATTTTAACCCTACAGACAATGGCTTCTGCTATATTTAGTCATGCACCTAAATAATGGATTATAAGGGGAAATTGAAACAAAGCACCACAACATGCATTTCAAATGTTAAAGTTAAATTCAAGTTCTTACGTGAGCACGTTTTCTGGTCCCCATTCAAAACATATCCATCATGACATGTGCAAAGGTGAGAATCACCATTTTTGACACAAATATGCTGGCAGTCATGTCCCTGGGCACATGTATTCGAACCTGAGAAGAAAGCTAACAGCTAACAAACATAGCTTACAAAGTCTCACACTGTCTGCTGTGGTGTCTTAGATGGATCAACAGGTTTTAAAAAGGTTCCACTGGGTTTTTCTCTGGATTATTCTGATTTTATAAGGATTTACATTTATGCAATGTGTAATAATCCATAGTTACTGAATTAAGTCATACATATCTCAAGGTCCGCTTTCTACACGAGCATATTTACTATTATGCAAGTCATGTCAAAGACAGTTTAAAATTAAAATTCAAGTTCTTACGTGAGCAGGTGTTCTGGTCTGCGTTCAACACATATCCCTCATGACACATGCAATAGTAAGAATCGCCATTTTTCAAACAAATATGTTGGCACTCATGTCCCTGGGTACATGCATCAGAACCTGAAAAGAGACACCTACACAGCTAACATCAACAGCAAACCTCCTTGGTAAAGCTTACAATTGGCCAACATTTAAAACAGATATCTATCAAGTCCATGGCCAAAAGATGTATGCCTTTTCTGCATTTAATCTAAAGCATATACAATAATAACAAAAAGGTTGTAGTCGACCACGCGTGGTCAAGGACATGCATATCAAGTCAAAAATCACAAGTTCTTACGTGAGCATGTTTTCTGATCTGCATTCAACACGTATCCCCCTTGACATTTGCAGATGTACGATGAACCATTGTTAATGCAAATATGTTGGCAGTCATGTCCTTGGGTACAAGTATCTAAACCTGAAAAGAGACACTCAAAGTTGTAAATGACTTCATTAAATTATAGCCACCTACAAGTACATAGTGGGGCTTTTAAAGTGGCACCAATTGATTTACAGTTTGGGGTGCATCAGTTTCTCAAGTCTCCAAACTTTCTGCCCATTCAAAAAGTATTCAAACTTTACTTCCTTGTCATTTGAAACAATCTACAATATCTCATGAACATTTGTCTACAGCACAGTGCTTCAACTTTAAGTTTCTGTCCAAATCAAACTTGGAGAGACACACCAACACTTCAAGCATGTTTCACCTACATCAAGGTAGATCCAAGACACTGCCCCCTGACATGTGATAACATTATTTGGTAAGAATGAGGTTCTTACGTGAGCAAGTTTTTTGGTCTGCATTCAACACATATCCCATTCGACACTCGCAGACAAACGAGTCATCAGTGCTGACACAAATATGTTGGCAGTCATGTCCCTGGGCACATGTGTCTGAACCTAAAATGAAACACTTAGACATCTTAATGGGCTCAATTTACATGAATCAAGGAGCCATTAGAAAGCAATGGAATCTAGGATGGGTCAGAATAATAAACTCTAAGACAGTCCATCAACTCTTAAAACTTAAGTCTGGGTTTCTTACGTGAGCATGTTTTCTTGTCTGGATTCAAGACATATCCCACCCGACACATGCAGATATATGACTTATCACTGTTTACACATAAGTGCTGGCAATCATGACCATTAGCACATGGATCAGAACCTGAAAAGAGACATATCGCATACATGTGATATGACAGCTCAGATAATCATTCAAGAAGGGCTTTGACAGTTGACCCTTTATGTCTAAAGATGGTTTCAATTGATGATCTCCCTAGACCTGATCTGTGCTTCATTGGCTCTTGCTGCTAAAAGCCAATAACCCAAATGAATAAAATATTGTAATGTACTAAGAAGAACTTTGAAGGGAACATGACACATTGTACGTGAGCAAGCACTTGAAATTCAACCCTAACCCTAACCCTAACTCTTTCACTGGTTAGCAATGGTGGTTGTTTCTGGCAAACACCATTAGCATATACTACATTTTAACCCTACAGACAATGGCTTCTGCTATATTTAGTCATGCACCTAAATAATGGATTATAAGGGGAAATTGAATCAAAGCACCACAACATGCATTTCAAATGTTAAAGTTAAATTCAAGTTCTTACGTGAGCACGTTTTCTGGTCCCCATTCAAAACATATCCATCATGACATGTGCAAAGGTGAGAATCACCATTTTTGACACAAATATGCTGGCAGTCATGTCCCTGGGCACATGTATTCGAACCTGAGAAGAAAGCTAACAGCTAACAAACATAGCTTACAAAGTCTCACACTGTCTGCTGTGGTGTCTTAGATGGATCAACAGGTTTTAAAAAGGTTCCACTGGGTTTTTCTCTGGATTATTCTGATTTTATAAGGATTTACATTTATGCAATGTGTAATAATCCATAGTTACTGAATTAAGTCATACATATCTCAAGGTCCGCTTTCTACACGAGCATATTTACTATTATGCAAGTCATGTCAAAGACAGTTTAAAATTAAAATTCAAGTTCTTACGTGAGCAGGTGTTCTGGTCTGCGTTCAACACATATCCCTCATGACACATGCAATAGTAAGAATCGCCATTTTTCAAACAAATATGTTGGCACTCATGTCCCTGGGTACATGCATCAGAACCTGAAAAGAGACACCTACACAGCTAACATCAACAGCAAACCTCCTTGGTAAAGCTTACAATTGGCCAACATTTAAAACAGATATCTATCAAGTCCATGGCCAAAAGATTTATGCCTTTTCTGCATTTAATCTAAAGCATATACAATAATAACAAAAAGGTTGTAGTCGACCACGCGTGGTCAAGGACATGCATATCAAGTCAAAAATCACAAGTTCTTACGTGAGCATGTTTTCTGATCTGCATTCAACACGTATCCCCCTTGACATTTGCAGATGTACGATGAACCATTGTTAATGCAAATATGTTGGCAGTCATGTCCTTGGGTACAAGTATCTAAACCTGAAAAGAGACACTCAAAGTTGTAAATTACTTCATTAAATTATAGCCACCTACAAGTACATAGTGGGGCTTTTAAAGTGGCACCAATCGATTTACAGTTTGGGGTGCATCAGTTTCTCAAGTCAAGTATTCAAACTTTACTTCCTTGTCATTTGAAACAATCTACAATATCTCATGTACATTTGTCTACAGCACAGTGCTTCAACTTTAAGTTTCTGTCCAAATCAAACTTGGAGAGACACACCAACACTTCAAGCATGTTTCACCTACATCAAGGTAGATCCAAGACACTGCCCCCTGACATGTGATAACATTATTTGGTAAGAATGAGGTTCTTACGTGAGCAAGTTTTTTGGTCTGCATTCAACAAATATCCCTTGTGACACTTGCAAATGTAGGAATCACCATTTGTCTCACAAGTATGCTGGCAGTCATGTCCCTGGTCACATGTATCGAAACCTGAAAAGAAACTTCCGGAGCTAACGGTTATGCTATCAGGAAAAGCCAGCATTAATAGAAACACAATACAATGGTGTCGCCAAATGCTTTGAACCTTTTCCTGCCTTAAACCAATTATTAATTACCAAGCAAATTAAAACAATTGTTCAAGTTCTCTTCTAAGTGCACTAAGACATGCATATCATAAGCGCCAAGTTCTTACGTGAGCATGTTTTTTGTTCTGCATTTAACTTGTATCCCACTTGACATTTGCAGATGTACGATTCATCATTGTTTTCACAAATGTGCTGGCAATCATGTCCATTTGCACATGGCTCATAACTGAAAAATCATGATATCATTCCAGGAAAGCCAGTACTGTTGGTACCTCAGTCTGACAATTGTTTCTTCCACTATGTGGTTACACGCTCCACTCCTCTTTCTACATCAATCAGTCTCCCAAGTCTCTTAGGTATTCAGGTGGCGCTCAACAACTTAATGAGAAAATGCTAAGCAGAAATTGTGATATTAATCACAAGTTTGTCTGTACAAAGTACCTCAACAACCATAGTTAAATTATGTTTCTATGCAGGGAAAAAAATTACCATTAATAACCAATTAATGCGTCAATGTGATATTCCAAATCAACTAAAAGGTGCTTACGTGAACATGTTTTCTGGTCTGCATTCAAAATATATCCCATTTCACATTTGCAGATGTAGGAATCATCAGTGCTGACACAAATTTGTTCGCAGTCATGTCTTTGGGAACATGAATCCATATCTGAAAAGAAAAACTCCCACGTCTGACACAAAACCCTTATGTAGGAAAGCTATTGTAGAGCCTTTGCTTCGTAGTTATAATTGTTACAGTTTACATAAACTAAAGTTTCTCCCTGTTTAGTCAAGCTAAGTGGTTCCCAGTGTACCATATGCCTCACCAGCTACTTTCAGTCATCGGAACAAACAACAGATGCATGAAAGATATTCAGCTTCTAACGTAAGCATGTTTTCTATTCTGCATTCAACACATCTTCCCTACGACAGTTGCAAAGCTATGAAGGATCATTGCTGCAGTCATGTCCTTGGGCACATGTATCTAAACCTAAAAAGAGACTATTCCAAATCTAAACAACTAAGTCTTACTACATGAGGTACCATGAGTCAGTTCGATTTCAAACATGTCTCATCCCCCTTTAAATTGTCTTTCGCTTTGGTTTGACCACCACATTTTTGACGAGTTTTCAAGGTTTTCTATGTCCTCCATAAGATCCTTAAGTCTGTAATGTTCATTGTTAATGTCAGAAAGAGTTGGTGGCTGTGGAATGGAAGCTGAGTTGTCAACTTTCCAGCCATGAGGTTTATACAACTGCTGACAGCTTATTTTGATTATTTTTGGCTCTAAAGTGCATACCTTGGCAGCAAGCCTAATTCCAGGTTTAAAACACCTAAAGTTGGTGGAGCTAACCTACTAAACTGTGATATTCAGTCCCTCTGACTGGGAAGAGAAGAGGATCTACTTGTCGTTATTAACTTTTAGAGTATGTACCTCTAGTGAGTGTGTTCACAGCAAAAAGTTCTGTAATAACTGTAATCAATCCAAAAGGAGCTACAAAGCTTATAACTCGGAATTCCAAGGTTCTGTCAAAGTTCTCATATCAGCATTTTACCATTTTCTTTTTTAAATAGAGCAAAAACACAATGAGATTTTGTGACACTGAAACATTAAGACAGAGATAAAGATTCTTACGTGCGCATGTTTTCTTGTCCGGGTTCAAGACGTAGCCCTCGCGACACTTGCAGTTGTACGAGTTGTCATTGTTGACACACAGATGTTGGCAATTGTTTCCCTGAGCACATGCATCCAAACCTGAAAAAAAACACTCCAATGTCTGATTGGCTTATGGTGAAATCAATCATTTTGCTTTATATCTCTGTTAGTCATTTGTTAGTATGTATTAATCCACATGTTGTTATCTACATAGCTAGATGCAGATTAGCTTGCTTGATCTCTGTGCTCCAAAATACAAGTAGGCCTATAATATATGAATTTGTTGTTGTAAAATCCTGTTATTTGTGAAGAAATGAAGAAACGTTGTCATGTGTCAATTCCACAATGTTTTACTGGCTTTAGACTTTTAGACACCTGACCATCTTTATTTGCATGCATTTCAGACCATGCAAACACAAAATCTAGTTGATGCAATATGTCGTTATCATTGCATGTCTTTGGTAGTGACGTCTCTTTTGTGGATGCACAGAAGTTGGTCACAGTGAAACACATAGGGTGGCTGAACTTACTCCACAGGTTGAAGGAGAAGTTTGCATGCATACTGTAGCAGGTAACCTTAGCCGTTACCTTGCTAGTTTGGGTGGTACCAAAAGTTATGTGTAGCAGGTGTACACACAGGTGTAGCTATATGCTAGCTAGTGGGTTGGGAAATTGATGAAAGAGCTGTTGGACTGTAAATATGGCTATTGCTAGGGCTAAAATTGTGGATGTTTCTATGTTTACTTGAGCTGCGTGTTTCAGCTGTAGGGGTTGAGAGACAAAGTCTAGAATGGATTGTTTCACAAGTAGCCAGTATACAAGCTAATTTTAAGCTAACTTTAAGTTAAATCATCATCAGACAATAGCTGATGGGTAAAGAGTTTGCATTTCGGCCAATGCGTTATGCCTCTTTTGCTTAATCAATACTACGGTATCCGGAGTGCTTCAAAAACAACTATATTGTCCCATTGCTAACATATTCTGAATATTTGCTGACAGACATAAGTTAAAAGAAGCAGACTGACATTTTTTTTGTCCTTGTAATAATGTTATCACTGTTCTTTGTCTAGTCCAAAATGTGTCACTCAACGTTTATGCTAAGCTAGGTTAACCGGATACTCATGTTGAACTGTTACATTTATGAGTGGTATCAATATTCCCTGCATAAAAAGTATTTTCCTAAAATGTCAAACTATTCGTTTAAACAATATTTAATCTTCTTTTTTTGATTAGCATATTTAAAGATAAAATAATGTGAAAACTTAGGTTGACTGAGAAATGTACTCAAATATGAATGTGTCCATTCAAATACATTCAAAGTAAAATGTAGCGCAAGCTAACTTAGTTTCTGCCTTGCAGGATGAGTGGCCGTTAATTTTCTGTCACATTTAGCAAAAGCCCTAATTGTGGACCTGTGGTAGCTTAGCATGCCTTCAGGAAACTACGCAGGGCAAATGGCATAAGGCACAAGATGCAGTGCAAATAGCAGCCGCGCTCCATGTGAAGTATAGGCAGCATCATATCAGGTTTCAACCATTTTAAAAGTGTTCAAGTTTGTAGAATTTTCTCTGAATTGGCCGATCAACCAGTGCTCAGAGATGTGTCTTCTTCTTTAAGTCAGTTAGTACATGACTAATAGGACATGTTAAATGTTGCCTGCACACTTATAATCAACATTTGTTAGTGAACAACCTTTTGTTGTAAACCCAAACACAACAAGCGGCGGTAAATCCCTGGTTACTGCCCTTGTTTGTAAGACTAAAGAAGAAGGCCATTGACTTTAGAATGGAGATTCCCTCTATGGTGCTGCCCATATAATCACAGGTGAAATTTAAAGAACGGATCTGACATACCCTTGTTTCCTTTACCGTCTTTCCTGCCACCTAGTCCATAATCATCAATTAGGTCATCTACTGGAATATCCGCACTCCCATCATTATCATCCTTACCACACAAGGTTTCCCTAAATTTTAAAGTGAGCTTCTCAATGACACCATAGGTCTCCACGTAGAAGACATGGTCATCGTGTGGCTGGCTAGCCATGAGGCGCAGGGACATCATATCGGCTCTGTCTACTCCCACTGCATAGATCTCAATCCCAGATGCCCGAGCTGCGGCTGATATTTCCTCCACCTTATCCTGGGGCCTCCCATCCGTCACGATAATGGCTACTTTGGCGATGTTCGCGGAGCCAGTTCGGGCTCCTGCTTCCACAGTGAAAGCTTTCTCCATGGCAGTCTTGATGGCCAATCCTGTCATGGTGCCTGAAGCGAGAGGCTCGACTTGTGCCAGTGCCTGCTTCATGGCTGGCTTCGAAAAATACGTCTTCAGAAGAAACTCGATCTTCACCGTGCTGGCATAATTGACAACGCCGACTCGTGTGGCATCTGAGCCGATCGCCATGCTCTCCACCATGTGTTGCAGGAACTCCTTGGCCTTTTCAAACTCAGAAGGGCGTACACTGCGGGAGCTGTCTATAATGAAGACCAGGTCTATAGGACGATTTTTGCAGTTGGATCTTGTTGCTGCAAAAAGAAAGAAAACAAATGCTTTTAAATGTCAAAGCGTGTATTTTCCAACGTATGTGCATTGAAGATACAGTGCTAAAACTCCTAATTTGCGAGAATGGAACATTTATTTTCCAGCGACAAAATAACGTAAGCCACCAAGGCTTACAATTTAGCAAGCTAGCCATGAGTAGCGTCATGCAGAAAATGCAAGGACATCGGGTTAGAGGAAAAATATGAGGTTGTTGGTAAAATCAACATTTTCCTAAAACATACAAACAAATGATGAAGAAAAAAAATATGATTCAAATTACAATTAATTTATTATGCTCCAAAAAGTGAACTTCTGCCATTTCTTTCAGAAAATTACTATTTACGAACTTGAAACCTCATTTGAAGGCAGCATACTAGTTAATAGTTTTAGAAAACCAAAGAAACATACTAGAATATCTTATCACCTAATATGTCAATTTGAAATACTGTCCTCTTAAAAATTCCATCAAAATGTAATACTAACTGATAGTCTCGCAAGTGCTCAGCAAAGGGAGATATAAATGATGGCATAAGAAGGCACGACAAGGAAATCTTCATTAAAGTATCTGATGTCGCTATTGATCTTTATTCATTTGTTAATTGAAATGGAATGATTTATTGTTGGTATATCTTTCAAGCATAAATGAAAAAATGTCAACTTAGTTAAAGTGATAGTAATGCATTTTTTATTATTTGTATTGATATGGTTAGAAAAGGAACTGTTGTTTAACAAACCACTTGGTTATTCAAGGATTACTAGTTATTTGAGCTTACAGACTAATAGAAATCCACTATTTATAAGTCCATAACAGCATTTTAAATGTGCTAAATAATATGTAGCTGCATTGTCAGTTTGTTTAAAGGTTTCACACCAAATTTGAACACATTTGTCCAAAACATGACAAATGCATGGTGAGCAAATGTGAGGGTATAGCACGCATGCACAGCAGGATAAAACATAACATCTATAGCACCAACCCACCTCCATTGTCTGCTCCCTGTCTCTCCTGCAGGTAGCTGTTGGCCCCGGCCCGGGCCCCCTGCTGCTGCTGGGACCCTCGTGCTGACTGAGCACCCGGCTGCTGGAGCTCTAGGAAACTTTCAGCAGTCGGATCTTCTTCAAATCTCGGTTCAATAGATTTGATCTCTCCAAAGCGCTGATGGAGTCTTGGAGAGACCTGCGAGGATACTCGTGGGATTGAAGGACTTATTGAGTGGATCTGCCGGCTGCGTGACCCAAACTGTGTGGAAGTTCCCACAGTTCCAGGCGCCAGGAGGCAGATGAAACAAAGCAGTCTCCAGGTTAACGAGGTCATGTTGCCTGCACACAGTTGTGTTCCCTTCGCCTCTGGTCTGGATCTTGATTTATACAGTCGATGTATAAATCTATCTATAAATCTATGATCTGGATGCACCTCTGTCTCTACTTCCACAGCTTACTGCAGTCTATTTATATGATGCTGGACACACTGCCCACAAGGCGTGGGGAATAGGAGGCATTTGGGGGAAGTGAAGGAAGAGGGAGGTCTCAAAGCAGCAGTAATCTCTACAGACATTTTATAATAACCATTAAAACTTTAATTACACATAACCTTTCCCAGTATTACACTGGACAGCTAAGTGGTGGAATGTAACTATCAACAGTACAAGAACAGAGGCTACATGTCAAAAGTAGTACTATACAATACAATACAATACAATACAATACAATACAAAGGGGCTTTATTGGTGACCACATTGTAAACATAGTATTGCCAAAGCATTCCGCACAAGGCGTTATAACAGAACAAAAACAAAAAAGAAACCCTAAACATAAACTTACCGTACTATCTGCTTTCATTATAAGCCAAATTGAATACATATGTTTTCAGCTGCATTTAAATTGTTGACATAAATATTAAGTATAGTATAAAGAGGTTAGCTGGTTAGTCATTGACCTTTCAGTAGTAATAATTCAATTCAATATTAGTATGAGTTCTGCTAAAACGTTTGTGCTCCTACTTGCGTAAAATTATAAAAGCATGCATGAGTATTTTTATTGTGTGGCGTAACTTTACTTTCAATATATTGGTAATTCTACCACTGGTTGTAATCATTTTTCCTGAGAAGATATTAATGTTGCATGCATTAAGTGTCTTTCAGAGGTTAAACAGATGCTACAGTATTCCAAACATACAGCATGTTGTCTAATATTTTCTTATAAGTGTTGCAATTGTGACCTCTGCTGGCATAATTGAGCTACATCTTATGTATGAAAAAGCTTTTATTGTTATTATTATGATTATTATTATTATTATTATTATTATTATTATTATTACTATTATTATTTTGTTGTTAACAAGAAGCTAGGAATTTCATTATTGACCTTTGACACGGCAGAGATAACATTTTCAGGACTGTTAGGACAATAATAAATGTGGATTATAATAATATGTGGACCTGAATACATTTGCAAAATAAATAAGAATATATTAAATAAAAAGGATTTATATAAAGTATTATCTCGATATTACTCTCGCAGTGGGACCTGAACAAATACTATAGAACTATAAAGACAAACTTGATTAATTCTAGGGCAGCTGATACTCAGAAAGCATAATCACCATGTAGCATGTTGCCCTCTCTTGGATTCTTTAGCAAACTGCACCACAGTTTGGGTGCGTGACCTAAATAAAACAGCCATTCCACTATTCAAAGAGCAGTCAAATACAGAACCTGTTTTATCTCGGGTTACGAGCAAACCACCTTGTTGTTCTTATGCCAACCTTTTTCTTAGTAAGTATTTTGCATGAAGTTGCAGATTCCATCTGACAATGCAAATTATCCATACTGACGTCCTACAAGACTCAGTTACATTACATCTGTTGTCCAGAAACCCTTTAATAATCCAGAGAGAGGAACAGATAATGTCATGTGTTTAAGCCCTGTGTATCCACAATGTTTTTATTATGGTTATTTGCGAGTATCGTCTGTGTATTTCTCCCTTGGTCAGGAGAGCCTAGTGTTCTACATGCAGAATCTCCTGGGGATATAATCATCGGAGGACTTTTCCCTATTCATGTGAAAACCAATAGGAGCACAGCGCCTGGACCACTCTCTTGTACTCAGTAAGTATGCTCTTATGATATTAATCCATTTACATCTGTGATTCTGAAAGTAACTAGGTACATTAACTCAAGTACTGTACTAAAGTACAATTTTAACGTACCATTTCCTGGTTCGTTATATTTCTACACCAATACAATTCCAAGATGAATATTGTACTTTTTACTCTCTTTTAATATAATCAATGAAAATGTTGTCATGTATAATTATTATAGGTTAAGATAAAACTTCATAATCATATTGATATTATTGATAGCTTTCTGAAATTAACAAGCTATCCAGCAGTATAGTCAAATAAACATAAGCTCCTGTTTTACCAGCTGTAATTCAATAATATAATGTATGTTATTTCGGAAATTCAGTGCAGCTGAAGATTGAAAAGGATTTGAAAAATATGTAATGACGATTTGATTAGAAAGTGTACATCCAAAATAATACAACAACAATAGCTTGTACATGTAGTTAGCACATTTTAGGGTATAGATAAATAATTAAAATGGTAAAATGTCTAGCTTCTTTCACTAGCAGTTCAAATGCTAACTTGACTAAACCAATCCAAACATTGCCACTTGAATTATATGAATAATATATTGTAACAGTTGTGTAAAATTATTTAGAAATTGTACGGAAATATTTTTGCAAAGTCTCTTGGAGTTAAAGTGTTTAATTATATCCAGTTATTGTTAAAACCAAATGAACACGTTAGTAAGCTGATGCGTGGTCTTGATGATAGGGCTCTTCTGTCAGGGTATGTCTGAAAGAAAGTTGGGCATCCACTGATTTACATGACTGTAGTATAAATGAACCATTTAGGAAATTCTATTTATCCTCTGTCAATTGTTGCAGATATGAAATCCAACAGTTTCTTCGCACACAAGTGATGATATACGCCATCAGAGAAATAAACAAGCGCACACCAAGGCCTCTACCCAACTACACCATAGGATTTGACATCTATGACACTTGTGCAGATGTGAGCTTTGCCATCAGAGCGACGCACGAGTTGCTGAAGAACCATTCAGACCCTCACAGCTGTTTGCTAGCTGAACCCAAAACAAAGGCAGTGATAGGAGCAGGAAGTTCTGAAGTATCAATAGCTGTTGCACGTGTTCTTGCTCTGTCATCAGTTGCTCAGGTTTGTCTTTGCTGTACTTTTGACATTTTCAAGATTACTGATGAGTAATGCAGTACAAATTCAACCAGATTTATTCCTGTTTGTCACAGATTAGCTACTCTGCCACAAGCGAGCTTCTCAGCAGGAAGTTGAAGTTCCCCACTTTTCTGCGAACGATTCCTAGTGATAAACATCAGACAAAGGCCATTGCTGAGCTGGTGAAGAAGTGTAATTGGAAAGCAGTGGGTATTGTGGGAAGTGATGATGAGTATGGGAAGTATGGTAGTGATACCCTTAAGGATATTTTCGATGAAATGAAGATCTGCATTGAATTCAGTGACATCCTGCCTGGCTACTTTTCCCAGAACAATTCAAAGGCCAATGAGAGCCTGGATGAGCTGGTGAGAAAAATCAACAATTCCACAGCTGAGGCCATCATATTGTTCACCAAGCAATCCAACGTCGCTGCCATCATTGGGGCCGCTGTTAAATACTCTCTCAACAGAACTTGGATTGCCTCTGATTCATGGTCCACCTCTGAAAAACTCTCTTCACTGTCAGGCATTGAGAAGGCCGGGGAAGTTTTTGGATTCATCTCGAAAAGGAATGAGGTGCCTGGGTTTAAAGACTATGTAATTTCGTCAATGTTCAACGGGACCACTAACGCCATCCTCAAGAATTACATGACTCTTTATCCATTATGTCCCACTAAGTCTGAGGAGAACAGAGAAAGCAACTTCCCCCTAAAAAAAACAGCCAAAAAGAGCCTCAAGTGTCTGGACCCAATGAACTTGACCAATTACATTGACCAGGATGCATCATACAATACTTACTTAGCTGTTGAAGTCATTGTTGAGGGTCTAAGGAGCCTGCTAAAGTGTGACCACCGCCAGTGCAAAAGAAGCACTAACTTTACAGCCTTGGAGGTACAGTAGAGTTATTTTTGCTTATATATTTTTGTATTGCAAATGTACATTATGTCTACATAACAAAGGTGATAAAACCTGTTACTGATTACTTGCAGAGTTTAATGAGAAGATTGAAACCAATCTATGCGTTTTTAAAGGATACAGCCAACTTTTGCTAGTTAGCTTAGCCTAGCATAGAGACTGGAAACACAAGGAAAAGCTAGCCTGGCTCTCCTCAAACAAGATCATCCCAATAGCACTTCTACATTTCACTGATTAACAGGTTTTATCACCTTTGTTCAATCCCTAAATTAAAAAACTTTTTTATAGTTTTTGTCATTATTTATCAGGTTGAGAACAGTAGAAGGAGAACAATAGAAACTTCAGGAAGTTACCCCTGGCCAATACATGTCTGCATATAATTCCCCTGTAAAACCATAATGTATTGTACACTTAATGTAACTTAGTCTTGATTACACTAGTGTGACATATTGTATTGGCTTTAGAGTGGCTGCAGACAGATTTTGTTTCAGTTTGACTGAGAAATGCTAGCAGTTTCGTCGGGTCTCCATTTCCTACACTAAACAAAATAGATTGTTTGCTGATGGTAGCCTTATAGAGTTCTGGATGAAGGACGGGATTTTGTACACCAACTCTAAAGATAGCATTACGTTGGTTGGTTCCCTCTACAAAAAGCCGATGAAACGCCAGAGTGCTAATAGCCTAAAAACAAACTGATTGAATGGATTTAACGTCACCACCACTGAGTTATTGCGTTTCCCTGTGTTTGCCGACACATCATTGGTAATCTCATTTAGGCACTTGTTAGCAACCAATTTTTTCAACACTAGTGAAAGTTTCAAAACTTACAAGAAAAGTGATATATTTTCTGCCTTGGAACAAACTTCAAGGTTTCAAGGTTCTTTATTTAGTCATACGAACATAGCTAGTGTAGTTATGCCGATGAAAATCTTGTGTCACAGGCTTCTCCAACAGAGCAACACAAAACACAGATAAACAAAAAATATATAGTGCAAGTAAATAGTAAATAGTAATACAAAAGAAAAATAGTTTTAAAAAAGTGAAATAGTGCAATAAGAGTCTATATGCAAGTTATTGAAATAGGATAGGTAAATAGATAAATCATTTGAAAATAATTGTTAAGTAGCAGCCAGATGAATATTAGGGATGTTGTTTCAACTGTTCAGGTGTTTAACAGATTTTGCTTCAACAGTTCAGGTGTTTAACAGTCTTATTGACTGTGGGATGAAACTGTCCCTGAGTCTGGTGGTTTTAGTCCGGATGCTGCGGTAGCGCCTGCCAGACGGCAGCAGACTGAACAGTTTGTGGTTGGGGTGATGGGTAATCCTGAGGGCTTTCTTCCTGAGCTGCTGGGAGTAAAGGTCCTCCATGGATGGCAGCTCCGTCCTGGTGATGTGCTGTGCAGTTTTCACCACCCTCTCCTTACGATTGAGGGCGGTGCAGCTGCCGTACCAGGCCGTGATGCAGCCAGTCAGGATACTCTCTCTGCACCTGTAGAAGTTGCAGAGTATCCTGGAGTCCATGTTGAACCTCCTCAGCCTGCGGAGGAAGAAGAGCCGCTGTCGAGCTTTTTTGGTGATGGTGGTGGTGTGAAGAGTCCATGTCAGGTCCTCAGTGATGTGGACACAGAGGAACCTGAAGCTGCTGACTCTCTCCACCGTAGTCCCATTGATGGCGATGGGGGCGTGTCCCTCTCTCTGCTGCTTCCTGTAATCCACAATCAGCTCCTTGGTTTTGCTGACGTTGAGATGGAGGTTGTTATCCTGGCACTGTAAGGTTATGTTAACCACAGACCTCATTTTAGGAATGTAATCCCCTTCAGGGACCCAGAAGTGAAGAAAGATGCGAACTAATTTCCGAGTTTTTTTAAATATATAATATAAATGTACACGCAACCTTTCGAAATATTTTGGAAATGGTCTCCTATATGAATTATTTCCTGTATTATTATGTGTAGTCATAGAGGAAATAACAAACTTGTGTATTTTATGTATTGATTGATGTATGTAATGTTTATCTCTACAGCTTCTTATGGAAATCAAGAAAGTTAACTTCACTGTGAACGGCACACATATTCAATTTGACTCCAATGGAGACCCCTGTTTAGGATATGACATTCTATATTGGAACATGACTCAATCCAATGAGAGCATAACACGCATAACAAAAATTGGAGAATACGAGCCAGAAGGAAATATCACAGTCCCACATGATCTTGTTAGAAATAAGGTCGGTAAAGTCAGAATGTCATTATATATTTTATTCCCAAAATTGGTTATAACTTTTGCACTAATTGGGTTTTTTCCGTTTACAGGTAAAAGCATTCAATTGCTCTAAAACTTGTAAACCGGGGCAGGAGTTGAAAAAGCATTCCAAAGGAGTGTGCTGCAATGAATGTGTTCTATGTGCAGACGGAGAGTATTCTGAAGGTAAGTGTTTCTTCTTGTATGAAATAACCCCAAGCTCAGATGTTTAAATGTTTATCCGCTAAGAGGACCCTAATTATGGATAAATAACTGAGGATATAATCGCATTTCCAGAAACACAGTTTGATATTATTTTCCTTTATTTTAACACATACCAACTGTGTTCTACTCTGCTCTGCATTTGTTAGTGGTATATTTAATTTAATTTGGAATAATTCATTTGTAAAATGGTTTGCTAATTGCATTTAGAGCCCCTCGGTTCTTCATGCCATGTTGAAATGTAGGCTGCATGAATATAAAGCATCAAATGTACAGAGGATTATTGACATTTGACCCCTTCCCCTTAGTTCTGAAAATATTGTGTGTGTCGCCTAAAACTGTCTTGTTTAGCTTTTGTTTGTATTTAGCTCCACCCTTTGGTGTCACTTCTGGTTCCAAACACTAACATGGCAACAACTCAAAAACTAAGATGGCAATGGCCAAATTGACAAACTCATGGCCTTAAAGCTGTAAATCACAAGCCAATGGGTTACTCAGAAAGGATACATAAATGTCTTCTTTTGTTCTCCAGTGAATAAAGATAAAACTAAAAAGATTGAAGAATGATTAATAGTCATTGCTCAGCCTTATTCTCTGAGGTTACAGACCACACACCTGGTCTGAAATATTGGTGTAATAATGGACTTAGACCTACTTTAATATTAAGAAAATATGAATTATTAAAGGACTTCTGTTTCGGGAGAATGTAAAAAACGTGCAGACTGTGGCTGTTAGAGTCCCCAACAAGACTAAGGATCAGTCCAGTTCTTAGGTCTTTCCAATTGCAAATAAAATACCATTGTTGGTTTACAAGAACTGAACGTTTTAATGTAAAGCTACATGCCTTTTCTGCATCTACAACTCGAAATATTCAAGTCTGATAAGAATTTCAGTTCTTCGATCTTCCCTGAAAAATGTTTTAATAACTTTTAATAAGCTTTTTAGGAAACAAATATTTTTTGTTTCAGTTATAATCTGAAAAAGAGTTTAATTATTACATTCTGCATTCAAAATGGATTAAAACTAAAAAGCGCACAATTTAAACTCTTTTAACAGGAACTCAATTAAATAATATCATGTTAATGTTTTGTTTTCCCAAATGTCTAAAGACAATTTTGCAAGAATTTGCATGAATTTGCAAATATTCCAAACTCTTCTGTCACACTGTTGCACGGTAAAGGGATACAGATGCTGGGGTTTGCCATTTATTCATTTATGCAAAGCAAAAAAAAATGTTTCAAGAACCTCTCACATAACCCTTTTCAATGGAGTGTTTTCATTATAATGATACTATTCTTTCCTCATGCAAATACATTTGCATTTTTTTTTTTTTTTACCTTCTTTAGGAGAGGAATGTAAACGCTGCGAGACAAAGGAATATTCATCTGAAAATAGGGATAAGTGTTTGTTGAAAAAGAATGATTTCCTAAAGCGGTCACACCCTTTCATTGTCTTTTTGAGTGTATTGGAATTATTTGGTATAATTGTCACCATTGGTTTTGCTGTTGTGTTTACAATCTATCGGAAAACTCCCATTGTGAAGGCGGTCGGGGGTTACTTGAGTTTCGTGGAGCTTTTTTCCTTGCTGGCCTGTTTCTGCCTTTCATTAAGCCTTACGGGAAAACCAAATCACACTTTCTGTAAGGTGCGACTGCCACTCTTCGGCATTGCTTCCTCCCTCTGCATCTCGTGCATCCTGGCAAACCTGCTCCAAATCTTAGTGGGCTTTAACTTTGACTTGAAGAAGAGGTCCTGGATAAAGAATGTCAATCAGCCGCTGGCTGTTGTGACAATCGTCTCTGGGTTCCAGGTCATCCAGTGTGTAATATGGATGATCTATTATGGCCCACATCCTAAAGAAATCATGTTAAGCAAAGCCATCCTCACTTATTGTGACAAGGGCTCCGATACATTCTTCATTACCATGTTAGGATACAATGCCTTCTTGGCACTTAGTTGTTTCCTGTTTGCTTTCAAAGGTAAACAGTTGCCAGATCTGTATAAAAATGCAAATCTAATCAGCATCAGTATGCTGCTATTTTTAATCGTTTGGATTTTCTTCATCCCCATTTATATTAATTTGATCGGGAGTTACACACAAGCCATTGAAAGCATAGCCATTCTGATTTCTTGCTACGGCATCCTCGGCTGTCACTTGGCCCCAAAATGTTACATTATGTTGTTCAGGAAAGAAATTAATAATGAGAAAGCAATTACCGAGTACATCAGGAATCATTACGAGCAGACAAACATGCCTGTGGTGACCTCATGATCACACATCCATAAATGATTTGGTTCACAAGAATACAGCTTCCTGTGGTGAAATCATAGCATCGTTTTAATATGTATCAGACGGCTGCTTAACATATACATCAATAGTTTGACCCAACGTATTGATTCAAACATGTTTAATTAAATAAATAATGTTTGCATTGCTTCTGCTATGATAAAATGTTCCGTTATACTAGCAACATTTTGAGCAAGTCCATTTACATTTTCTTTCTATAAACCGACTCAAACACTGCGAGAGCCCACACCGTTGTTCCCTTAAGTGTTAAAACTTTCTGTCTGTTTTCTTCTGTTGTTCGCTTAGTGTTTACTTCTTGTCTGTCTTTTTCTGTTGTTCCCCTTTGTGTTTACTTTTTCTTCTTCTGCTGTTCCCTTAGTGTTTACTTTGTCTGTCTTCTTCTACTGTTCCCTTAGTGTTGACTTCCTGTCAGTTTCTTCTTGTGTTCCCCTAAGTGTTTACTTTGTCTGTGTTTCTGCTGTTCCCTTAGTGTTTACTTCCTGTCTGTCTTCTTCTTGTGTTCCCCTAAGTGTTTACTTTGTCTGTGTGTTTCTACTGTTCCCTTAGTGTTTACTTCCTGTCTGTCTTCTTCTTGTGTTCCCCTAAGTGTTTACTTTGTCTGTGTGTTTCTGCTGTTCCCTTAGTGTTTACTTCCTGTCTGTCTTCTTCTTGTGTTCCCTAAGTGTTTACTTTGTCTGTGTGTTTCTGCTGTTCCCTTAGTGTTGACTTCCTGTCTGTCTTCTTGTGTTCCCCTAAGTGTTTACTTTGTCTGTGTTTCTGCTGTTCCCTTAGTGTTGACTTCCTGTCTGTCTTCTTCTTGTGTTCCCCTAAGTGTTTACTTTGTCTGTGTGTTTCTGCTGTTCCCTTAGTGTTGACTTCCTGTCTGTCTTCTTCTTGTGTTCCCCTAAGTGTTTACTTTGTCTGTGTGTTTCTGCTGTTCCCTTAGTGTTTACTTCCTGTCAGTTTCTTCTCCTTAGTGTTTACTTTGTCTTTTTCTGCTGTTCGCCTAGTGTTTAATTCCTGTCGGTGTTCTTCTGCTGTTCTCTTTATTGTTGATTTCTCTGTCCTTTTACCTTTTAACCTATTTCCTTGTCTTGTTTTTTGTTCTGTTCTTCACTTTGGACACTTTAGGAAGCATGAATCCAAAGTTGTGTGCTCTCCTTAAAATATAAAAATTATTATTCAATACATATTCAATGGAGTTTTCTGATGGAGCGAACAGACAGAAACAATTCAACAACAATGTGTTTTTTGATGCAGATATACATGAGTGCATATGGTCCCTTGATCAGATTGTCCTTAGCAACGTTCTGCTATCCCTAGCAGCTGTCTGCTATAGAGAAATAACAGACCACTAAATGTCCAAATAGACCATTGAGAATTGATTATTCAACTAAGCTGTGTAATGTAGCGTGTTAAATACTGTAGGCAAAACATTAACCTAGAGACAGAGCCAAAAGGTTTCCGCCTTTTGCAATTTATGTTATAACTCAAGCTAAATGGCTGGCAGCGTGTTCACTTGTAAAATGCTAATTTCTTGGGTTAGTAAGTTATTTCACATTACTGTAATGATTTTCTTCTTGCTCTGAATGTATTTCATAAATATTTACATGGATGAACATTGTGTGAGTGCATGAAGAAATTAATACTGACTAAGAAAAACTAATGCTTTAAATCATCCCAGTTAAACTTTTTTCCACACTAAGATTCATATTTTTTTTTTAAACAACTTAAATGTATTACATGTACCTATAATGTACTATATTTAAATAAAATGTTGTGTATACTCGTGTTAATATTGTCATTTAGGTATGAGTGGTGAACATGAGATTGTTAATGTCTGTAAAAACTGTTTGAGCAATGTTTTGTCATGAAGTGCTGTATACTGTGAATAAATGAACTTATTTCGGAATACTGTCACACTTTCGTAGCTTGAAAATGTCTCAATGGAATATGTACTGTGCCGAATGGTTCAGCACCAACATGGAAGACAAACACAAAGATTTAAGCACCAATATTCCAGAAGTTTCCCCGAAACACTTCAGACAAAGGTATCAGCTACAGAATACAAATCATATTCAACCACATGACAAAATCCCAGTTGGAATGAAAAAGCCTGAATGGGCTATGGTACAGTGCTAAACATAATGTGTTTAGTTGTGTCAATTAATAGTTATGGGTGTGTAATGTCACCCATAAATTGTTACTAGTATTCTTAAATGTAAAAAATGTTGTAAAGGTAATTCTATGTCTAATATAACTAGTGAATGTATAATTACATATGCATGTATCCTCATGTTACTGTTACAAGGTAACCAACTCTCCTTTAGGCTAACTTTCTGGAACAAAGTACAATTATTTTTAGGATTTGGCATTTGAAAAGAAAGACTAATTAATGAGTCACTTTGGGCATCAGGAAAAGCTCTATATAAATAACATGTATTATTATGAAACAGCGGTTATTAGAAGTTTGGCCAGATGAAGCATCACAGTTCCTGCTGCAAACACTAGATGGAGCTCTTGAAACATCCTCTGAAGATTGTTTTATGATTCATACAAGCAATGATGATTTATTTTGTCCCACATGTAGAAAAACGCACAACTCATTAGGCTCTGCATCCAATGTTTTTATTTATTAAAAAAATACAAAACTTGAAAAAGTTTCCATAGGAAAGCGTTATGGATATGCAATCCAGTCTTTCGTATCAATTTCTCAAATGTATTCTTTAACACTGGTTCTTATTCATATAATCAACAGACTTCTTGACGTTTACAAGTTACAACAAAAAAATAAAACTGAAAATAAAATAAGGAGAAGAGGAGAGGTTCAGTATGCTTCTTGAGTCCCTGTGTTTTAAGTGTTAATCTTGAAGATGTGTATTTGGTGGCACCTGTGAGTGTTGGGTGACCACGACAAATGAGAAGCGACCTTTGACAAAGGTAGCTGAAATGTTATGCGTCTATAATGTTCTGTGTGTACCTAAAAGTAAACAAAAAGTGACTTTACATGTTAATATCTTCAGGATTAACACTTGAGAGGTTCTGTACAGAAGTAGAGATCATGGAAAGGATAAATATAAACAGAGCAGCCATTTAATGAGGATTTAAATCACCCCTCCAACCACCTCTTTGCAAGTCACAATTTTGAAGTATTCAATTAATAGTATTAGCGACCCCTTACCTCTTGGACTTTTGCTACAGTTTCAAGTGTTGAGTCCTTTTTTCAGTTCCACTCATAGTTTCTTCATAAACTAACAGTACTCAAGTTCTTAAGTCACTTTCCCAAAATTAAGGGCGGAATACTGCAGCAACAATTTCCGAGTACAGAGTAGCCCTGTGACACTCTGCCTGGAATACACAGAGACACTCAGAGTGTGATTCAGCCTCATTTTATCGAGGGTTGATCCTCACTTCTGTACAGAACACAGATGTTTGTGCAACAACATGCCCCTCTCGTTCTCCTGTCAAGTAACTGGCCTTCAAAATATATCATGACATATGGGGAGAAGAAAGAAAAAGAAAAGACAGAAACTTCTCCAATAATTAATAATAACAAAGAGATGCTAGATCAGGAGAACATTGCTGTGATGTACGGTATGCGTTTACACCACAGGGGCCTGGCAGGGCTTAGTGGGCATCTCCAAGCTGCTCTCTCGTCCACAGCAGGCCGGCACCTCCAACAGGGAGGACTCCTCCGCAGGAGCTGGCATGCCCTGGGAACAGATCTGCTGCACGTGTTGCCTGTAGGAGACGAAACAGAGAAAAGTTATATTGTCTTCTTCCTCACAATGAGACAAGTGTTCCATCAGGAGCTTTCGGGACTACTCACCAGGCAGTGCGAGACATGACGTAATAAATGTCGGGTCGTTGGAAGCCATTGAAGGTGGAGGCAGCGGCCACGGTGTAGGCCCCCATGTTATCAAAGATCAGCCAGTCGCCTACCTGCATGTCAGGCAGGTAGCACTGCTCGACGATGCGATCGAGTCCATCACATGTCGGGCCCCAGATACTGCAGGGGTATCTGACCTGATCTGGCTTTGGCTTCTATTGAGAAGGGGGTGGACACAAATCATTAGTATCCACTTTTCAATTACTCAGTTATGCTGATAATTTGCCACGTTTTCAAATCTTGAGTCACTTACCTTATGTAGTGTTGGCAAACAGTGAGCATGGTCATAGAGTATACAATTGAAGGATCCATAAACGCCATCGTTTACGTAGTACATCAGGGTCCTATCTGTGGTCCCCTCGTCTTCCTCTGTAGAAAAGTAGAACATTTAAGTACTGAGAAATGTTACCAATCTGCCTTAACAATATTTGTGCAGTTGAGCATTATTATCGTTATTAATCCTTCTATTATTTGTTTTCTTGATTTAAATGCTTGGTCTATAAAATGTCAGGAAAAATGTCCATCCTTTATTTATCAAAATAGTCGACTTATAGATTAGTTGCCTAACGGTTTGCAGCTCTATAACAGAATAAACGAGTATACTAAATGAAGGCTGTTACCGTCAGAGGCAGATTCCTCGTCCATGATGACCTTCTTGGCGATGATGTTGACAACCAGTGTGTAAGCAGAAGCCACATAAAAGCGTCCTGGCTCAGAAATGATCTTAATGCCAGTGTCAGCGGGGAAATACTTATCCAGGGCTGGGCTGATGACTGCAGTGATCTAGCAAGGGGGGGGGAAAGTGTCCATTGATTATTATAATGTAAAAAGGATTATCTTGTGCTAGTTCTACTGATGTTGCAGCCTAATGTCCAAAGAGGACAAATACAATTCAAGATACCTCTTCGAATTTGAGTTCATTATCATCTGAACCAGGAAATCCACCTCCGATGTCCAGCAGGTCCATGTTGAAGCCCACCTCAGCCTAGATAATCACACAATTCAGTTTAAGACAACTTTGATGGGTGAAAAATGTAATATTTTTTAAAGCAGTTGTCACAACTCACCCCTATATCGAAGACATAACGGGCATCAGCGATCGCCTGAGAGTAGGTCTCGGGATCGGTGCAGCCACTGCCAACATGGAAGCTGACGCCAATCACATCCAGCCCCAGTTCCTTAGCTTTCTCCAGGAGACCTCGACACGCTTTGAGTGTCACACCAAACTTCACGCTCAGGCGACACACAGCCTTAGAGTCATCTGTGGCAATACGCAGCACCAGCCTGGGCACAAAAATAGAGTTAGAGGAATAAATATTGGATCTAGAAAATCAAAATGCCTGTTCAGTCTTTATATTTAAAATGGAAAGAAATCTCACTTGGCATTTTCATGACAGCGGGCCACTTTCATGAGTTCCACCTCGCTATCAAAGGTCATCATCCGGACCCCGTGGGCGGATGCGTACTTGATCTGGGAAAGTTGCTTGCAGGGGTTGGCATAGATGATTCTGCTTGGATCCACTCCCAAAGACTGAACCATATGAATCTCCGTCTAGAGGGGGACAATGCCAACAGTCAGCAAAAAATAAGTGGCAATTTAAAAACTCAAGCTGCCAATGCTAGTTCAGCTTATCATCAAGAGAGCTTTGAATAGTAGAGAACATCTATGGAAGATTACAACACACACCTTGCTTGCACAGTCGAAGCCAGCTCCCAGGGAGGCCAGTACCATGACTACAGCCTGACTGTCGTTGCATTTGACGGCGTAGAAGGGAGTGACGCGTGGCAGGGCCCTCACCCAGCGCAGGTGCTTCTTGAAGACATCCCCCAAGTCGCAGACGTAGAAGGCATCCCTGTCATCCTGCGATGGAACAGATGAAAAAATGTGTTCAACAAAAACTATTTAGAAAAATAGAATATTACACAACACCTAAACAAACACATGCTAAAATAAAATGTGATACACATTTTATGACAAGATAATCGCCACATGGCAATATCCTATTGTCCCATGCCTATTAACACCCCTGTGTTCTTTAGAATTGTGTAAAGGGAATACAATTTTGACATTCCAACACCAGTCACCTGAACAAGGGTGTTGCATCCTGTTCACATTCACCACTTAACAAATGAGGCCATCTGCATATCCCCCGAACAAGTCAACACAGGAAACTCACCGTCATGGATGACTCATTGATCTTCTGCTCGACGATATCCCGTGCAGAGAAGCCCTCCTCAAGGAAAGAGAAGTCAAACTCGGTGGCAGTTTCCATGCTCACAATAAATCCTTTTGATTAGTCACTAGGAAACTGAAAGAGGGAGCGGAGAACATAGAGATTACACTCAGCTTTGAGGACAAAGTCTATTTTGTGTCCTTGATTGCAAAAGTCTATTTGTTCCTCACTCATGGCAACGACTCAAAAGTGAAAGTGTAAGTGATTCTCAAAGCATGGAATTTGACTGAAAGACACTTTTGTTACTGTATTATCTGATACAACGCAGTATTTTATAGAGTTCAAACAGCTGACAGTTAGATACTTACTTGGATATGAAAGAGATGAAATTTGATTGGTGCAGTTATTCAGGTACAGAGCAGCCAAGGCGGTTCACCAGTGAAGTTAAATCCCTTCAAATAAGACTCAAGGCCAGGGCCTGCTGAGGAGCCAGTGTGTGTCTTACAAGACTGATTATTCTGTAACAAGAGCATTTGACAGGATTTTAACATACAAAACATTTTCTGGTGGGAATACGCCTGGAAAGTAAAAACGTTGCTTTCTATGGACTCACATTTTGTTTGTTAAAGACTAAAATAAACCTCAAATTACAATATAAATGTAATCTTATCCTTACTACTGAATTTTTCTTATAGTTATGAATTAAAAACATCAAAGTTACGGATTATTCTATAAAACTAACCTAATTTATAGACAAGACATACACTATTTTACGACTATGTGATGACTAACGGTACTACGACACCATCTGCAGATTCTGCACAGAAGTAATTGAAAGCACAAGTGTTTAAACCCCGCCCAGTTTCAGATGTAATCCTATCATAAAGAAGATCCGCCTTCAACGTAAAAGAATGGCACGAAAATGGACCAATCAGTGACTAACAACGGACGCTGACGTCGGCATGCCGGTTCCGTTTAGAGCTATGCGTGCCATGAGGTAATTTAGCATGAAAGTTACTACTAAACGTGGTTTCGCAAAGTCAACGCAGCCAATGTTAAAACATTTAGTGTATAGTGAAGACACCGAAGCAGTAAAAGTTCGAAATAACAGCCAAATGTCGAACCGGTTAGATAGCGAGATTAACACCAAAGTAGATAACTATTCCTCGATAACGTCCGCTAAAAGGCACACTGGCCACGTCGTAATGGTAAGTAACATTTACAGCTAAACTCAGCAGCAATTCAATTTGAATAAATTGTTACTTTGATAAACCAAAAATACCAACGCCGTTACGCCTAGGAAGACAATTTTGCATTGTCCTTGTTTAAGCCGCCATAACCTTAGCCTGCTAGTTAACGTGTGCTACCGTTAGTTAAAAAGCGAATGAGATAGCTCACATTTCACGTTGTTAAACATCGAAAATCTTTCACTTACCTTAAAAAGCATTTACAAAGAGTGTGTCCATTAGACCAGAATGCTGGGATAAAAAAATTAAGCCGTACTGAAGGTGCCGCCTCTGTCAGGACTGAAACTAGAGTGGAAGCCGGTATAGGATTCAGCCAGTATTTATAGAGAGCTGGTTACTACGACAACGCAGCCAGCTGAAACCGGCCCCCTATCCACGTATGAACCGGTTTAGGCTCGTCACCTCATCCACATGGTGGGGAAGAAAGACAGACCGCTGTACAACTGCGTAGCCTACACGCGGAAGATAGCTTAAGGTAACACAGCCAGTTCAAACCGAACTTGCATCTAGATTCTACGTAAATAAATCATACAAATAAAAAAACCTTCAGGGCTATTGTATTCATTGTATTGTGGTGAGACCAGATATATAGCCGGCTATCTCGTAACCTCTATAGCCCCAGCGTATCCTACTTCTCATATGAAAACTTGTGTGATCCTTTTGCCAGGTTTCTTCCATAGACTGTCTAAACAGGTTTCTTCCCTAACCTCACTATAGTGTAGATGTTGGCCTTTGAAGATACAATGGTAAAGGTTTTTCTTCCTTTGAATGAGTTCAAACACTCAATAAATACTGAAAAAGCCTGTATCTTTCACTGTATGTCTATCTATTTAGGATTCTTAACATGAAATGAATGAAACATGAGTTATGGCTCTTGCCAGGCTGAGAGTATGTAGAGAAATATGTTCCAAATTTACATTAAAATACTTGAAACCGTTTAACTGATTATAGATTCCACAGTTCATTCATTTTTAAAGCATACATTTTTAACATTCTCTGGTGCCATGTTAAATCAAATTAGTAGAAAAATCACTAGTCACCGCCTTAACAAGTATTTGTATGCTAAGAACTACCTGTACTTTATGATGATGACCACCCGAAAGCGGGTGAGGCTCAGGATAGGTAAGGCTAATATTTCACTAACTGGGTCATTCCAGAATTGGAGGACAATTTAGACACCAACATTTTTGAAAAATGAACCTTTTATTTTATTTTTTATGTATTTAGGAAAAACAGATAATAAACCATCAAAAAAAGTGATTTGCCCAGCTAAGGGATCAGATGTATATTTTCCAATGAAGAATGACCCCTGTTACTCTAATTATAGTAACAGGGTTGAAAGTAACAGGGTTGAAAATCAATGCTAATTTGAGCTTTAACCTCAGGAATTATTGCTAGATGTAGCATGTAATGCTCCTTTCAAGGCAAGGACAAACTTGGATATTTAATGAAAGAAAGTTAACTTTTTAATTAATATGCTTTATTCTGATAATATGAGTAACAGGGTTGAGTGGGTTAGAGTGCCACACTCTTTTAAGACTGAAAATATTGTAAAAATATGAAAAATAAAAGAGAGGACTTAGTTTTGGTCTACCCATGGCACTAGCACATGGCTTGCTGATGTCCCTTCCACTGTGTCCTTTGACTTACAGTTTTTTCACTTCCTCTGCCAATCTAAAAAGGTTTGGGTAACAGGGTTGAACGCATGTTGAGGGACACACCTTCTGTGCAAAATTACTGTTATTTAAAATATGTTTATGATTTAACAAATTGATTTTACCATTACAAGAGACATATATCAATAGAATAATACCAAAAAAAGTAAATAAAATCCCTATTTTAAATGTTATATTTGACATGCAAGTTGGTCACCAAGAAGCGGGGACAAGAGAAAAATGCCATGTTTCGAGAGCTATTTGATAATTTAAATAATATTTTGAAACCACTTTTTCTACAACTTTATATACATTTTGTCTCAAGACAAGTATGTTTAACACAACAAGTGCATGTTTTAGCTTTTTGGGCATGGATTATTAGATTTTTTTTTATATCTTGTTTTAACTACCACAGGAGATGCTATCATTTTTACAACAGCAATTATATGCACAGACCAACAATAACGCACAGCACAGGAGCTACAGGGGCTAAATGTTCATAGCAGGTGATGAATTGAAAAAAATAAATAAGAAATTCTGATTATTTATAATAGTTTACTAGGCTAAAGAAAGACAATATTCGACAATGCTTACGTTATGTGATTTAAATGCAAGTTACTAATTGTTTAGCTTACAACGCAAACGCAACACATTTCATGAATTTACATAAAAACATAAAATGCATACACAATGTTTATTACAAAAAGCGCAAACCAACAAGCAAAATCTAAATCACAGAAAGTATCTGTGGACTTACTCAATTCTGTTGCTGTGAGCCAAAATGATGGTAACACAGAGACTTCACCCATTACTATGCAAACAAACATCAACAGTATGCACATAAATACATATTTAGATACACCCTGCTAGCTTTTTTCTCAAGGCACAATGCACATGACAGAACTTAAAAACTATGTGTACGTAGAGCCAACCGGCACTAACTGACAGTACAGATGCAGCTTGTGAGACAAACACACGTTTCTTTCCCAGTGCTGTTTGTTGTGAGTACCATTAAGTTAGTGCAACACACAATACGATAGTAACAGGACTGCCCCTGATGATGACAATACTCATTAGTACAGGTTATACTATTGTCCTATCCAGATGTGATGGAAGGAAACCTGTATTGCTGTGTGTTAATCCCAGAGATTCTCACTCATGCTGTCTGCCTCTAACTGACAGCATGGCCTCAATAAGGTGATGGCAGTCTGCTCAGTCTAATTTGTGACCTGATTAACAGGATTAAAGATCACTAGATGACTCAATCATGAGGTGTTGTCAACTTGCACACATATGTCACAAAAGCGCTCCAAATGCCATGTTCACAGATACAGTTTTTATGTTATATCTATATCCTTTTCTACATTTGAGACAACAAATACAAAAACAGATGACCCTGTAAGCTACTGAGAATGGTGGGAAGGGCTCCAATGGTGCGTCTACTCCTAAATGTTTTTTCATTCCCAGCCCTAAAATTCTTGCCCCCAGACATTTCCCCCCCTTACCACAGTTTAATCAGTCCAAAGGTTGCTTTCATAGACATTTGGTCTGCGTGCAGACATTACCAAATGGAGGAAAAGAAGATTTTGGTTAGTGTGACCTAAAAGTACATGTGGAAATGTTGCACAAGCACCGGTTCCAGGACACTAACAGTAAACTTTAGGGCTTCATGAGGACCGCATATCTGTGGGTTTGACTTAATATCTTTTCCAGGTCTTGAGGCTACAATCAAGATGGCAGTCAAATTTCTTGCACGATGGGGTTTCCATTCAGATCTTCTGCAGGCTTGGTGAATGAAGTCATGTTTTCCAATAATTTTAATGATCAAAAACTAAAAATCCTAGCCCTTCCCGAATCGGTCAAAAAAGTTGTAATTAGTTTAAGCGCCAAATACATATGATGACATAAATATGATCGTTTTCATACGTCGTAGTTTTCCCTATGGTCCTGCCCTGAATCTGAACTTGTTCTAGCAGGCGTCGCTTCCTTTGCAGACCCATGCCTGTCAGTCAGGAAGTGGGCCCACACTTGGGGGCTAATTCATTTTCAACAGATGTTTATCAGTTTGTTCAAAATCACAAGATCCCAAAACACTTGCATGTATTACATAAAATACCCGAATTAGATTGTTCCTCTTGACTCCAGTCATTTCCTTTTGTTTAATGTGTTGTCTCTGTTCCACCAAATGTCTGTTTCCACCCTTTCCTTCACCCCTCTCCTTCTCCTCCATTTGTCATGTCTATCTTTCGCTATGTGTAGACTTTCTGTTATCGTTACTGTGGGCTATTGTGGCCTAACCCCCACATTTACAAGGCTTCACAAAAGGACAAGGATGATGATTGTTATTGGCCACCCACAAGATACAGTGCAGTGTACGGGCCTTGGTGACTGCGTGTCATGTGTATCACTGCATCTGGCTATTTCTCTTCCCTTCTTCCCATAATGAAATGCCACGGTCAGTTTTACTGTTTCATCAACTTATGTTCCTGTACCGTGCAGTTCAGTGTGCACAACACGTCTTGAGACAATAAGGCATTAGCACAAACCACAACTTTCCCTGACTTTTCTCAAGCAAATAAACTACACTCTATTTGAACATGATCAAAGCTAATGGACAAGTAACACCAAGATGTTCTTAACAATTCAAGGTTCAAGGCTTTTATTTGTCATACGTACATAGCTACAGTGTAGTTATGTCGATGAAAATCTTAGGTCCCAGGCTCCATTATGACCTAACACCAAAAACTAACATCTGACATTGTAGGGTCTACATTTATGTTCCCTTTTTATCTTAGGTTCTTTATCTCTGCATATTGCGAATTCTTTTTGCACTTCCTACTTTGAACCTTGGCAGAGTCCTTGGACAATCTTGCAAAACTCAGCACGTAACTAACACTTGTAAATGGGCACAGCTCTTCCACTTTTACAGATACAGTTACATATATTTAATTTGGTTTTTTATGTATCTTGTAACGGCAGTTATCGGGTCGAGTCTTTGTGTTTTTAACCTGTTAAGCCCTGAGCCTGTTTTTCAGGTCTCAGGCTCGAAAATGACATTCCCAGAACAAATGACTATAACTTCACTTCTAAAAGGGGTAAATTAATAAGCTTTTTTCTCAAAGCAATGATGAACCTGTGAGTTGGATGTAGAAAAGTCAGAATCAATATAAATGATTTTGCTTTAAAGTAAATTCAGATTGAACATAGTAAGAAAATGTAAATTATAGTGTCCGTCCAAAAGAAAAACATTACTTATAGTGAAAACCACCCTTGAATGATGGGATAGTAGACTAAAAGCTTTAGGAATCCAAACTATAACATATAATAAGTACCCTGTATCAAGATTGATGCAAAACAAGTTAAATTTGACCCTTTTAGAGAGATTTAGAAGAAAAAGAACCCCACCTTTGGGGTCATTTGGGTGGATTTGCCGGTTCTCTGGAACCCATTGGTCGATTTTGGTGATTGACATCTCTTTTGAACCGTTAGAGCCAATAGAATCGAGGGGGACGCTCCAAATACACACACACGTTACCATTGAGGAGTGAGAGTGGCGCACACGCAGTCGAAAGCTATGTTACGCTCTGAAAACTGAAAACTGAAACCTAGGCTCAAACTAGTAAATATGAAGATGGATTATCA